ACATTCAGAAATAAATGAGTGATCAAAGGAAAATAAATAGGATGAATTTAGCATTTCCTTAAACATTTTCCATTTGCCCGCCAATTTATTTTATTTATTTGCCTACTTTAATCACGTCTAATTATTTCTATATGTATTCAAACAAGGATTTTGTATTTATACACACATTTATTTATTTATTGTTTTTGCAGGTTTCGTCCTCCATATCAGTGTTGCCAAACCCCTCCCTCAGAAAATCTCTAGAACCACCCTCAAAAGTCTCCATTTTTCGCCAAATATGAAAAAGTATATATAGGTAAATGTGGTAAAGGTAAAGGAAAGTAAATAAATAAATATATATATATATATATACACTTTACAAATTATGACAGTATAAAAAAATAACAAAAGATTAAGTATAACAAAAAATTCTGAAGTGAAATTAGGAAATGCTTGTGATCAGCAAGCACATCAAACATGATGGAAAGACACAGAAGACAATGTTGGGAATTTGTTTTCATGTGTCACCAAAGTGCATCCCTGTCCTGCTCAAATACAACAGATAAGAGATATTATGACTCTCCAAAAACAAAAAAATGTATTCATACAAACTTATTTCAGTCAACACACTATTACTACAAAGTGCGTGCACAATACTGCATCCCAGCACACATGACACGATGATGCACTGTCTCTCTCGGTATCTGGTTGACATTACTGTGCATGAATTGTGGTATAACTTGTGTCCGCGGTTAAAACAAGATGTTCATTGTTGATCTTGGTTGATGCTTATAATGAAATTATGGTGTGCGTCATGGCAGTCGTGGCGTACTGCTGTGTTCAAGTAAAAAAATCTCCAAAAAATCGCTAGTTTTATTTAAATATAGCTAAAATAGCTCCTTGTCGCAGAAAATTTTTAAAAAGTCGCAACTAAATTTGGCGACAAAATCCCCAAATTGGCAACACTGCTCGCGATGAACAACACAATACAATATCGTTCACAGTCATGTACTGGATATTTATTGAAAGCTCATGCTAATTAATGAAGGCCGGGTTGCCTTTCCCTGATTGGGTCTTTTTGCTAAATGAATGAAAGAAACAATTTCATTGGTTAGAAATGGGTTGCTAGACAGACATATCCGCCAATCACAGGCTTCTAAATCTGAACGCCCCCCCCCCCACACACACACACACACACACACACACACACACACTTCTGACTTTCCCGCTCAATGTTTCTGAAAATCACAATCACGAAGAAAAGTAAAACTTTTATTATTTTACATACTAGTGTGCACATTTAATTAACTCTTGGAGAGAACACGGAATTCGGTGAATGAATCAACTTAAGCTCGAGATTAAGGCAAAAACGCCTTTATGTTTTAGTGTGCTAAAGCTATTTTTACTTCAGTATGAAGATCATAGAGAACTCCGACTGCGTGCTTTAATAAAATGACTGCCGAGTAATACACAGAACATTATGAAATGCGCTGTTATGAAAGTGTGGGTGGCTCTGAAAAGAGCCGTTGGGTTTTGAGTGCAAGGTTGGAGAGGTTTATCCTCCGAAGCCGTACAGAGTTGAAAGGCTTGATGTTAGGTTTCTTTAGTAATTTTATGTCATATAACGTCATTAAGTTGTGTAACACAGAGACCCTCTGATCAACACAATTCATAGTATTGTCATCTTCTTAATGTTCTGCAACAGATATTCCTGAATGAGAAGGTTACTTCCTAAACCTGTGCTCTGTATGCATGGGGGGGAGGGGGGGATTAAATACAGAAAGACAGCTGTGAGGTCCTTAGGTGCCTCTAATCAGACAAGCGCTCTCCCAGATGGCACATCCATAAAATCATTGTCAGATAGAACTACTTCATCTGTTCAGCATGCGAAGATGCCATCAGAACTGAAGAAGCCTTTATTAACTGAAAATAATAATAATAATAATCTGAGAATCAAGCTAAATTATTGTTCCTATAGGTCACTTTATAGAATATATCCTATAATCCATCAAGTCCAGGGCTTGCCAAGAACACTTCTTCAGTTAAAAATGTTTTTGCCAACACAATATTAATAATTCAAGTAATGATAATAATAATTTCTTAGGTTTTAATTAGCAATACATTAATAAAATCTATTTTGCTGTTAAACAACTGTGCAATGGGAATAAAATATTTAACTTCAAACACCATCGTGTATCAGAAGTCATTCTTGCAATTTCGACAAAACCTCATTTATGTTATCCTGTTAGATATCTTTATCTTGATGACATACTTAAATTAGAGGAATTTGAATGTATCACACAAAACCAAAAGTTTATGCTTGCAAGGCATTGAAACACATGGAACAAGGCTAACATATGCAAGCCATAGAGACACTTCGGTAACACTTTATTTTAAGGTGTCCTTGTTACACGTTACATGTACTTACTATTATAATAACAATTACTTATGCAATTACTTACATGCAAGTAACCCTAAGCCAAACCCTAATCCTAACCCTAACCATATAGTAAGTACATGTAGTTAATTAATATTACTCCGTACGTAAATGTATAATTACACTGTAACAAAGACAACTTCAAATAAAGTGTAACCAACACTTCTATCAACTGGCCCAAAACATTCTCACACTGGCACGGGCCATCAGGCTGTCTTTATTGTTGAGCTCTGGAGTCAAAAATGTATATTTAATAAATAAATGAATGTTAAAAAGTTTATAGACTCCCTTGATAACACTGTGGACCAGATTAGATTAAGTGCTTTTAGAACTCATGATGTGCTGGATGCAGCACAGGTGTGGGTCGTATTTTGCTGAGCGAGATGACAAAAATGCTCATATTGTTAATTGTGTTAACGAATGGTGATGAGCTAGTTTCATTCGCCCACAGAGAGCAGTCCACCTGGCAGGGCAGCTGTGCTGGGATGGTGAACCAGGTGTGATGAAGAGAAAAAGAGGAAGAGCATACCTGCAGCATGAGGGCGATCATTGCACCTGGACACTTTTGCTGAAGTTATGATCATTGCACCTGGACACTTTTGCTGAAGTTATGATCATTGCACCTGGACACTTTTGCTGAAGTTATGATCATTGCACCTGGACACTTTTGCTGAAGTTATGATCATTGCACCTGGACACTTTTGCTGAAGTTATGATCATTGCACCTGGACACTTTTGCTGAAGTTATGATCATTGCACCTGGACACTTTTGCTGAAGTTATGATCATTGCACCTGGACACTTTTGCTGAAGTTATGATCATTGCACCTGGACACTTTTACTGAAGTTATGATTATTGCACGGCTCGTTTTCTAGCTGCACAGGTGATCATGTTGGTGTATTCGCTCTGTCGTACTGCAGTGAACACACTTTAACCTTTCGATTAGACTCATTAACACAGCACCACACTTCACAACTCTGACCTCAAATCCTACACACATTTTTTATTATACAGATTTATTTACTTACATCTAGAGTTAATGTCTTTCCAAAGAGATCCATCTTTCCATCTCAAATCTTTAAAAGTAGCAGTAACAACACATCGAATCAATAAAATATTCGTGAAAGTTGTGGCCTAATGGTTAGAGAGTCGACTCGTAACCCAAAGGTTGCGGGTTCGAGTCTCATACCGGGAGGGATTGTAGGTGGGGGGCGCTCTCTTCCACCTTCAATACCACGACTGAGGTGCCCTTGAGCAAGCCACCGAACCCCCAACTGCTCCCCGGGCGCAGCATAAATGGCTGCCCACTGCTCTGGGTGTGTGTTCACGGTGTGTGTGTGTTCACTGCTGTGTGTGTGTGCACTTTGGATGGGTTCAATGCAGAGCACTAATTCCAAATACGGGTCACCATACTTGGCCACATGTCACGTCACTCACGTCGCTCACATATAATCTCTTAGACAACATATGTGATGTGACATACTGGTTTGGTTAGCCATTTTCAAATGAAAAGAAAACGTAACGTAACATTTTTATTTGAAATTAATTTAAAGTCTTTTTTTATCTCAGTTTCGTTGGTGTATACTGTGGGTCGCTGTGATTTTGCCAAGTAAGACATTTTCCTGGATCAACATTACTGTCCAAAAATATAGACTAAACCCAATCCCTACCCATAATTTATTCCTAAATCAGTGTGAAATGATAACTGATTAACAAGAGTGTAGAAGCACCTAACCCTGATCGTAAGCCTAAAACTGATATTTCCTGAAAAGTTATCTCTCACTTCTGATTGGCAGAAAGATGGTGAGGGTGCTCGCTGCAGAGCCAAATGGGAGGAGCTGGAGCTCTAGCTCCTCCTCGCTGGATGTAATGGGTGGAGCTAGACACCCAACCACTCCCTAACCCTACCCCTTACCCTATAGCTAAACATAACTCCACCCATTAGTTCACACAGAGGTGGAGCTGGACATCCAGAGAGGGGGAGCTGGAGGTCATTTGGCTCTGCAGTAAGCAGTACTTGGAAAGATGAGGGGTTTAAAATGTGGAGTGTCGTGCAGTGATTGGTTTTGGCGAAACACTATGGATGCAGTTTTATGTTTGGAAGACGATATCAGGAAGGCACAAATGTATATAGTGCAACACCAACTAGAGCAGTGACTCTGACCTCGCTAGTTATAAATGGGCCGTCACGTGATTATATTTAAATGCTGATTTCGGTAAGGGTTGGGTGCGGGATAGAAACGTTATGACAGGAATGGTTAATACTTAATTTCTGAAGGTATGTCTTTCAGTACATGTTTGTTTGGGCTCTCGACGGCGCCGAGTGAGGACCCGTGCAGAGAGAAGAGGGGCGGGGCTTGGAATGTCGAGGGACGTGCAGTGATTGGTTTGCAGCTGTAGCAGCCTCGGACCAATAGAAGACGGGCACGGTCTCTTAAAAGCGGTTGTCAGGCCGAAGCTCTGACAGTTCTGCGTTGAGTGTCTGTAAAGGTTGTTATTGTCTGACAATGAGCGGAAGAGGCAAAACCAGCGGTAAGGCCAGAGCGAAGGCTAAGACTCGGTCCTCCAGAGCAGGGCTGCAGTTCCCCGTCGGTCGTGTTCACAGGCTCCTCCGCAAAGGTAACTACGGCGAGCGCGTCGGTGCCGGTGCTCCGGTGTATCTGGCCGCTGTGCTCGAGTATCTGACGGCTGAGATCCTGGAGCTGGCTGGAAACGCCGCTCGGGACAACAAGAAGAGCCGTATCATCCCCCGTCACCTGCAGCTGGCGGTGCGCAACGACGAGGAGCTGAACAAACTCCTGGGCGGAGTGACCATCGCTCAGGGCGGCGTGCTGCCCAACATCCAGGCCGTGCTGCTGCCCAAGAAGACCGAGAAGCCCGCCAAGACCAAGTGAACACAAAACCCCCAAAGGCTCTTTTCAGAGCCACCCACTTTCTCTTGAGGGCGAATTAAAGAACATGAAGGTTTTTTTTTTAACCGTTTTCTGATCAGTAGTTGGGTGCATTGTAAAGCGGTTTTTTTTCTTAATGAATTTGGTCTGTCTCAGCATTAGATGTTAAAGTGTTGATATGCAAATATGGCTGGAAATAACGTTTTTATTTTTGTGATTGTGCTCCGTATTGAAGTTGGCAAACATCTGAGCTGGTCACTTCACATTGGCGTCCATCACACTGGATGTCTAGTTTTATTGGGGCCAATGCAAATGTATTTAAATCGTGCAGTCCATGTTAAAATCAGTATGACACCAGAGCTGTTACAGTCGCAATATGTTTGTTTTGAAACTTCCTCCGATTACAATGACATTAATGCATTGTTGCCTTGTCTCCAGCCAAACCATTTTGTATATTTGATACTCTAGTCATATTCTTACAACCTCCACAGCTTATTAGTGTTTTCTGTTACATGTTACTGAAACTACCTCGTTTTTCTTCTGTCACGAGATCGTCTAATTCAGATGTAAAAGTCCATCTATTCATCCAGCCTCCAAACCCATTGCAAGGTTCGCGGTTATATTTACTGTAATACTTGATCAACGTAATGCATCTTTGAATAAAACATTAAAACTTCACAAGTATCATGTTTGGTCAATGGTTTCCTGAAGTCTAATCGAAAGGTTAAAGTGTGTTCACTGCAGTACGACAGAGCGAATACACCAACATGATCACCTGTGCAGCTAGAAAACGAGCCGTGCAATAATCATAACTTCAGTAAAAGTGTCCAGGTGCAATGATCATAACTTCAGCAAAAGTGTCCAGGTGCAATGATCATAACTTCAGCAAAAGTGTCCAGGTGCAATGATCATAACTTCAGCAAAAGTGTCCAGGTGCAATGATCATAACTTCAGCAAAAGTGTCCAGGTGCAATGATCATAACTTCAGCAAAAGTGTCCACTTAATTTATAATGGATTATCTTGACATTGTTTATTTAAGATAACTACATCTTGTGAGTGGTTAGGAGTGGTTGAGTGTTGTTTTGAGTGTTTCCTGTGAGGTTAATATGAATTTTGCTGTGAGCTAGTTTAAGATCAGATGTAAGTTGTATAGTTTAAGGTTAGTTTAGCAGACAGTCTACTAATACTCTAATGACTGCTAGTTGACATGTAGTCGCAGAGTTACTTATCAACAGTTGTCTGAAGGCTACCATCAAAATAATCAAATTGATATTACAATCAAAACAGTTCAAAGCAAATGTGTACACATTCATCTGATCTGATATCAGATCTTATGGCTGTTTGAGAAAAATTAGTATTATTATTATTTATAAGTGGGCTTTGTCTGCTTTAAGTACAGTTAAGTTACTTCACTTAAAGCAGACAAAGAGCACTTAATAACAATAAGACCACATTAAAGCATTTTGGAATGTTTTCATGAAGACTTTGTATTTGTTATTTTACAGTAAAAACACAAATAAGATGTACTAAGTTATTGTGCAGATCTTCAACAATGGCAAGATATGAGACCTATAATATATTATAACTATGAGAAATATAATCCATTGTAACTTAAGTGGATGCAATGTGTTTACTGTGTGCTATAAATCATCATACGCTTAACCACAAATAAGTATTAGAATACATTAAAACTGTTCTTACGATTATTTATAAGATGATGCAACATACTATAAGGTTTCTTTCCTTATAATGCTTTAAGAATAACCTTGCATTGTGCAAAAATAATTCAGATTCTACTCTGACCTGTAATGATAATCTGGACCAGAAAGGAAGACCTGCTCAGCCTCCTGCAAGGAGAAATCCCGGAGGACAGCCAGGGCATATATGATGGCCTGTGAACAAACAGTTAATTTAAGTATACTATTAAAACACTACTGAACAGCAAGCCATTATATATTGCTCCATACACGAGCAGCACCAGCATGCAGTTTATACAGTAGATTGTGTAAGTGCAGGAGCAGTTTCAGTCCAGAAGGCAAACCGCTGACCATGCCTTTCAAACATCAACAAGATTAATCTAAAGTACTGCCA